ATCTAGCGTATGTGGTAGATACTCGGGTCAGGGATCAGATTTCGGTTTCCGATGTACCGTTGTTCAGGGAGTTTGCAGATGTGTTTCCGGAGGAGTTGCCGGGGATACCTCCGGAGAGGCAGGTCGAGTTTAGAATCGACCTGGTGTCGGGCGCGGCCCCTATCGCTAAGGCGTCGTACCGATTGGCACCACCAGAGATGCAGGAGCTGTCGTCACAACTACAGGAACTGCTAGGCAAGCAGTTCATTCGTCCGAGCAGTTCTCCATGGGGAGCACCGATTCTTTTTGTCCGGAAGAAGGACAGTTCGCACCGGATGTGCATTGACTACCGGGAGTTGAATAAACTAACGGTGAAGAACCGTTACCCACTCCCGAGGATAGACGATCTCTTCGATCAGTTACAGGGTGCATCTTGGTTTTCCAAGATAGACTTGAGGTCTGGGTATCATCAGGTCAGGGTCAGAGAGGAGGACGTGGAGAAGACCGCGTTCCGAACTCGTTATGGACATTAGGAGTTCGTGGTAATGCCGTTTGGGCTCACCAACGCGCCAGCGGTGTTCATGGACCTGATGAGGATAACAGCGGACTCCCCGCTTGTGAGTCTGATCAGAGATGCCCAGGTTGAGGGCATGCGACCGGAGAATTGGAAGCTGGAGAGGATCAAGGGTGAGAATACACGGTTTGAGCAGGATAGTCGGGGATTATTGACCCGATGCGGTCGGGTTTGGGTTCCGATGTCTGGCGGGGTTAGGCAGACGGTTATGGAGGAGGCTCATAAGTCTCATTTCTCTATTCACCCGGGGGCCACCAAGATGTTCCGGGATTTGAGTTTGAGCTATTGGTGGCCGTGCATGAAGCGAGAAATCGCTTGGTACGTCGAGAGGTGCTTGACCTGTAGGATGGTCAAGGCCAAGCATCAGAGGCCGCATGGCAAGCTGCAGCCCCTGGAGATCCCCATGTGGAAATGGGAACAGATCACGATGGATTTTATTACCAAGTTGTCGAGGACGGCAAAGGGGTTTAATGCTATATGGGTCATCGTGGATCGATTGACCAAGAGTGCCCATTTCTTGGCCATACGGGAGAGCTCATCGGCCGAGAAATTGGCCGACATGTACGTTCGCGAGATCGTGTCTCGCCATGGGGTTCCCGTTTCCATTGTCTCTTATCGGGATGTCAGGTTTACCTCCCGCTTCTGGCAGAAGTTTCACGAGGAGCTGGGCACACGGTTACACTTCAGCACAGCCTTCCATCCGCAGACTGATGGTCAGAGCGAGCGGACCATTCAGACCCTCGAGGATATGTTGAGGGCATGTATCATCGATTTCGGGGGGAGCTGGGATTCCCACCTACCGCTTGCAGAGTTCGCCTACAACAACAGCTATCATTCCAGCATTGGCGCCCCACCATTCGAGCTGTTGTATGGGCGGAGATGTCGCACCCCGGTTTGTTGGGGGGAGGTTGGTCACAAGGTGACGGGTCTGACGGAAGTGGTCTTGCAGACTACCGAGAAGATTCAGCAGGTTAGACAGCGGCTGCAGACCGCTCAGAGTCGGTAGAAGAGTTACGCTGACCGACGCCGGTCCGAGCTAGAGTTTCAGGTCGGTGACATGGTACTCCTGAAGGTCTCTCCCTGGAAGGGTGTGATCCGCTTCAGGAAGAGGGGAAAATTGGGTCCCCGATATATTGGGTCGTTCAGGATCATTGCCAGGGTTGGCAAGGTGGCTTACAGACTAGAGCTGTCGGAGGAGCTTAGTCGGATCCACAGTACTTTCCACGTTTCGCAGTTGCGAAAGTGCATTGTGGACACGGAGGCAGTGGTGCCACTGGATGACATTCATGTTGATGAGCGCCTGAATTATATTGAGAGGTCGATTGCCGTTTTGGAAAGGAAAGTGAAGGTCCTACGCAACAAGGAGGTTCCGTTGGTAAAGATACAATGGGAGCATCGGAGGGGATCCGAGTGGACATGGGAGTCGGAGGCTGAGATGCGGGAGAATTACCCGGAGTTATTCGCTACAACTGATCGAGGACGAAGTCTAAGTCAAGTGGGGGAGAATTGTAACGCCCTGATTCTCAGGTATTGATTTAATGTGTGAGTTTCTTTATTTCAAGGGCTACTCGACGAGTTGATTGCCCTACTCGTCGAGTAGCAGTGGGTTGGTCCACGTATTTTAATGACCTACTCGCCGAGTCCAAGAAGGGACTCGATAAGTAGGAGCTGGCAGATGAAACCCTAAATCTTGGGGTTTTGCACCCTATTTAAAGGATCATTGGCCTCCCCCAGCCTCCCATTTACGGCTTCTTGTCCCTCTCAAATCCTAATCGAGTGTGTGTGTTCCATTTGTGTATTTTGAGCTTGGAAGAGGATTTTGTGGAGAAGGGAGCTTGAAGAGCAAGTATTCAGAAGCAAGGAGCTTGTGGGATCTGAAATCTACCTTATTGGGCATCTTCTGGAAGGTATAAATCGTTACCCTGACCTCATTTCATTCTAAATCCCCTTTTTGGACAAATTCTAGGGTTTTCATGGTATGATTGGAAGCTATTCTTGTGTGCAAGCTAAGATCTGAAGTTGTAACTTCAGAACTGAGCTCCCTTGGGCTTCTGAGTCCATAAAGTTTCCAGCTTGTGCAAGGATGAGACTCTCCCAAGATATAAAGCTCCATTAGAAGCTTAGATTGGTCATTTAGGGCCTTTAGAGCCTTGCACGTGCGTAAAGTTTGCAACTTTACGTGATAAACATGCCTTAGAAGCTTGGATCTGTAATCTGGAACCTTGTCATAGCTTAAAAAGCGTCTGCATGGATAAAGGTCTGCAAGGACTCGACGAGTTGGATGAACAACTCGGTGAGTCCATTGAAGATGACCATGAACTCGACGAGTTGGATGAACAACTCGGCGAGTCCGTTGAAGATTTCCTTGAACTCGGCGAGTTGTTCGAAGACTCGGCGAGTCGGCTAGGGTTTCTCCTAATTCTTGGACACATATGAACTCGGCGAGTTAAAAGGGAACTCGACGAGCCAATCAAGGATTTCACGACTTCTCGAGTGCAGGAAGGACTCGACGAGTCGGTGAACTGCACTCGACGACTCGAGTCAACATGGACTGTTGACTTTGACTGTGGACCTTGATTTAGACCAAGGGTTGACCAGTTGATTTCTGAGGGTATTCTGGTAATTTGGAGATTTATGAGAAAGGGTTTTATGGTAACTATAGTTGGTGGAGTTCGTGTTGGTGATCCGGGAGTTGAGCTTTCTAGTTTCAGACGACAATTGCGAGGTGAGTTTTCCTCACTATACTCAAGGGTCTAAGGCACCAAGGCTGGCCCTTTGGATTATTATATGGTTATGTTATGCTAGTATGATCTGTTAGATCGGTATCCTAGAGGGTAGGATAATATTATATGATATGTGGTATGACCGTGAGTATTCCATCCCGAGGATGATTGGACTCAGAGTATGTGGGCATTCCAACCTGTTGGTTGTGGGCCTGGGGTATCCCAACCTGATGGTTGATTGGACCCATAGTGTGTTGGCAATCCAACATGTTGGTTGTGGGCCTGGGGTATACCAACCCGATGGTTGATTGGACCCATAATATGCTGTTTATGATTATATATGTATTGTTGTGGGTATGAGTATTTTGGGGGAACTCACTAAGCTTTCGGGCTTACAGTTTCAGTTTATTGTTGCACGTACATCAGGGGATCGTGGCAAGGCAAAGGCGTGATCATACCGCTCCTCACTTTTTATGACCTTGTTTCTGGGATACTCTGATATTATACATTTTGAAAACAAGTTTTGTAATGGTTAATAGTTTTGGAAATGTTTTAAAAGTTTTAAATTGGCTTAAATTTTTGGGTGTTACAGGAACTCACTAAGCTTTGTGCTTACAATTTTCAGTTTATATTTCATGTACTTCCAGTTCGAAGGGGAATGGCCCAACCTGATCGCACCATATCACTCTATGTTTTTTTCGCAGTTAGTGATTTGGGGATTTGTACTCTGAGAACATGTTACAATATGACTCTTTCAAATATTTTGATATCAGTTTCTTATGAACTGAATGAATTTAAAAAAAAAATATCTGTATTTTTTGGGATGTTACAAACCTCATAACCTAGAATAGCAATCTTTTTTCCAATTCTTTATACTCTCCATGCAATTACTAAAATCTCTTCATCTAACTACTCACAATGGTTGTTTTAGGACATCTATTACTTTATATACTCTTATGCAATCACATTGCATACTTAACACTATTTCTCATCTTTTCATCCTATTTTTCACAAGAATGAGTATAAACTTACTTTTTCACACGGTAACATTGTTCAATATTAATCAAGGTAAAATTGATCAGACAAGTTAATCCCATTAAACTTAATAACATTGGTGACACAAATCACCGGCATCTCGTACAAAGTGAATATTAATCTCACTGTTCTTCGTGTGTTGGTGTTAAACTGAATTGGTCGAAAGATAGACGATGGTAACATTATCACAATAAATGATGGTTGCTTTTGACACAGATAATGTAACTTGCGTAAGAGATTCGGAAGCCAACATGTATCACCCACGTATTGGCTATGGTCATGTATAGTTTTTCAACATTGGATCGGGACATGGTGGCATGACGCTAAAATGACAAGGAGATAAGGTTGTCGCTTAGATACACGTAATATCTATTGGTGGACCATAAATAAGTCGGGCATTGCCCCACAGTCGACATCCAAGTAAGTAATCAACTGGATATGGTCGATAGATGAAGCCGAAGACCGAAATCAAGTGTGCCTCGGATATAGCGAAGAATAATTTGATTACGTGAAAGTGTGTCTCTCCAGGTTCATGCATGAAGAAGCATATTTATTATGTTATATACACTACTAGAAAACAGAGCATTAGCGACAGAATTTTAGCGACGAAAAAATCCGTTGGAAAAACTGACGGGTTTCCGACGGATTTCCGACAGAAAAATTATTAGGATATTAGCGACGTATTTGCGATGTTTGGCAACAGAATAATATCAGTCAGTATGTTACAACTTCCGACTGTTTACCGACGGAAATCAACAAATTTGAAACTCCGTCGGTAATCGGTTGGTAAATTAATATTTTATTTTTTAATCGTACGGGCAATCCGGTGAAATAAAAAAAGGGGTATTTCACGGGCTATGTGCTTCGTATTAACTTGACCTAAATCAAGGCACCCTGAACTTGTGAACGGACGACGACAAGACGAAGCATCGCCTCCGAGCTCTGGCTTTCTTGCCGCCGCCGCCGTCAACGGAGCTGAAGGCATCGACCGCTCCGACTTCTGGAATTCGTTGAGTACTGCTTAATTCTCTTTGAATAGCTTACAATACAGGTATGGATTTGCATTATGACTTCAACTAGGTCAGACTCTACTTATCAACTGCTTAATTCATTGAGTACTGCTATCCTCCCCCTTGCTTTTTTTAGGTTTACCAATTTATGGATCTTAAATCATTCATTAGATGCTCCTGACTATTCCATAGACACGATTATTATCTAATCAAGTACATATGCGGAGCTTTAAACCTGGTAATCGGAGTAAACTTGTTTGTATTTGAGTTTTCTCCGACAATGAACTCCAATTGGAACTCTACTGTAGTTCTTGATCGTTGGAGGGCGTAGGAAAAACACTCGCAGGGGGTGTATATGTATATAGCGAATCAAGAACATGAATACAAGTAGTATTTCATCATTCGATGGGTATATATGCGTGTAAGGAGATTACAAATTGGATTTTCACCAGCAAATGTTTGTAAAAACCTAATGTAGGATACAATGCAACGCCCCCTTCACCATATAATATCACAATTAGAATCTTCACTAAGCAATAACAACCACCAAAGTAACTGAATCATATTTCTTCTGTTAACATTTTTCATAAACAAGGAACAGTTGCATTTTGTCTTTTACCTTATCAATTCTATGACTTTCAATGATGTGAATTTGCTATAGTAAGAGGAATGTAAGAAAAATCTTAAGCTTTGTTTGTTCTTCTAAATATATGGAAACTCAGTAAAATTTATATTGCCCTTGAATCTTGAATCTTGATAGATTGTTCAATAGATGTTTTTAGATGAATATTGATGGTTTTACTTTGCTGCAGTTTCGGTTTTTGGTTCCACCTCAGCAATAACCTGGACCATATCCGGATTAGACGTGACACTGGGACTCAGCTCCTTGGTATGATTATCTCGTATATTCTGATTACTTCCACAAGAAGCTAAAAACTTAAAATTTCTTATTTATACAACTCTAACTCTATACAGGAATGAGCCCTTCTTCTAGAGAAAAACAATAGACTTTAGTCCTCCTCTCATAGAATGCAATTATAACTGTATTGACAGTTATAAATTAATACATTTTCCTTCATTCTATGTTCTCTGGGTATCATCAAATAGAACCCATAATAATAATCACAAACCAAGTACCAATCTTGACATAATCATGGTAAAGTCTCACTTGTGAAATAGAACCAGAGACAACTCAATAAAGAAGATGGTGTTTATCAGACTCCTATCCACCATCCATCCATACAAAGTAATCCCTCCCGGATTATTCTGTTTTATCTCTTAGGGTCTTTTTGGAATGATGGAATGGAACTATAAAGGAATGGAATGAGCAATTTTATGATTCTCTTTAAATTGAATTGAACATTCTTTTTCAGAAAAAGGTCAACTCATATGTAAAATAATATCAACCATCTTACTTATGATCTGTTTTTGCTGATTGATGCATTTGTTGTTCGTTTGTTATTTAGTAGAATCCTAAACCTGGAATAGAGGGAATCTATTTGATTGGGAAGGGTAACCACACTCAAAATGGAACCCTAGATAACTCTGCCAGCCATATAATTTGGAGGATCTAATGGAATTGAGTCCCTTCCATATGACAACCTGACACACCTTGGAAGGGAATCATGAATTTCTATTCTTTCTGTTTCCATCAGAATCCGCAAAACTAACACGCCCTGATGTTTCTTTTTTAAAACTAATTGATTTCATGGACCGGAATCTCGAATTCCAATCCGACCATTTCACATGATTGATGTGTTCCATATTGTTATTAATAACAAGATACTGAAATTTGTTTTCACACCAAATGCTCTAGTTATAAAATGTATAAGGCTTAATGGGGAAAGTTTCGTTTCTGTTTTTTTGTTAAATATTTAATAATTAAATATTTGATATTTCATTATGCAGGCAACTGCTCTTGACCCTGCAGATTATGCTGGCATTGAAGCTGCATTAGACAACCACAAAGTGAGCAGTACAAAATTAAATCCAACTTTATTGCTTTTTTTGTAGATTGAGTTAGTTTTTTTCTCCAAAATGGAGGTGGTATTTTTAATATATTTACCATGAAATTGGTCGTTTTGGGTGTATTTTGTCTCTAACAGGTCAAATGAGTTAACTATAAAAGATTATATTACATTTTTGGTCCCTGTGTTTATTTTTATTTTCGGATCCTTTCCAAAACAGAATCTTTTTGCAAATTTGGTCCTTACTCAAGGTTTCCATAACACTTTTAGTCCATATCCGATATAATGACTACTTTGCTCCCTAGTGGTGATAAAAAGGTGAAAAGTAGTCATTTTTACATGGGGAAAGGACCAAACATGTGACAAAATCCTTTAAAAATGACCAAATTTGCAAAAAAAGTTTCCTTTTGGGATCTGATCCAGAAGATTTGACCCTAAAACTTGTCCATTTTGCCATCTATTATCCAAAGATCCATTTTATTTCAACAACAGAGTTATAAAAGAGAATTTGTATATAAACTAATTTATAATTTATACCACAGGTTAGTCTTTACTTCACAGAATCACCCACAAATCCATTCCTAAGATATGTTGACATTGAGTTAGTTTCAAAGCTGTGTCATGCAAAAGGAGCAATTGTTTGCATTGATGGAATATTTGCAACACCTGTTCTACTCTCAGCAACCAAATACATTGGTGGCCACAATGATGTAAGCAAAAAATCAAGAATCTATTTCTTTGCTAATAATTTTTTTTTTACCATTATTAACAAATATTGGCTATCTTTGACTTTTTTTTTCAGGTTCTTGCTGGTTGTATTAGTGGCACTGCTGAAATAATTTCTCAAGTTCATAACTTACATCATGTTTTAAGTGGTGCCCTGAATCCTGTAAGTAGCTTATGAGCTGTTTTTAACATGCTTGATATATATAACAAGGGTGTCTTAGTTTTTTTTTTTTTTTTTTTTAATAATTAAATATTTATTTTAATGGCAGAATGCTGCATACTTAATCATTCGAGGCATGAAAATGCTGCATCTACGTATAAAGCTTAATGGGGAAAGCTTAATGGTGTTGCTGAGGGAAACTATAGGCTTTGACTCGATCATATCAATTTTGCAGCTATGAGGAACCACATACAACTTTACTCAGCAAAAGGTCATACATTAAGTACTTATTAGTTATTTAGCATATCATTTACCTTTATAAACATGCTTTAAAAATTTTAAGTTTGTAATTGTTGTCTATAGACAATCAATCTACCGAGTGACTTGGAAACAATTAGTTTGCTGCTGAGTGGAGGTCTGGAAATCGATCTTGGGAGTATTGGACTTTTTTACTTTTATTTTATTGGTTTTAAAATATAAATTTGATGAATGCTTTAAGATTTTTTTGTGTTGAATATGTAATTATCTTTTATTTTTTCATGAATTTATATATTTTTTTAGTAATGCCAAAATCCGTCGCTAATCGGTCACAACAAAATCTGTCGGTAATCCGTTAGTGAGTTATTCCCAGATTCCGTCGGTAATCCGTTGCAAACACATTCCGTTGCTAATCCGTTGCAAACATCTTCCGTCAGTAATCCGTTACAAAAAATATTTTGTCGGTGATCCGTTACTAATCACTGACAAAAAATCCGTCGCTAAAAATTTGCCGTAGCCGTTAGAAATCCGTTACAAACGATTAGCGACAAGAATATGACGGAGTTTGGTGTGTTACAGTTCCGTCGGTAAAGAGTATTACCGACGGATTTGGCCGTCGGTAATACTCTTTTTTTGTAGTAGTGATAAGAGATAAATCCGTCGGTAATACTCTTTTTTGTAGTAGTGATAAGAGATATCAGGGCAAGTAAAATTCAAATACTAGACTTCGCCTATAAGAGTGATATTAATGGGATCCGTAACATGGGACCCATGAGATCAAACCTAAACTGAGCATTTGTGAGAGTGTTATAAGGGTTGTAGGTTGACATGTGTGCCTACACTAGAATTTTGAACGCATATTTGTGTTGAGAGAGAAAAACACCAGTCTTGCAGCGAACCGTTGAAACACCCAAAACTATGAGAGATCCTCGAGATCAGTCCCAGTAGACTCACTCGGGAACCGAGAAATGGTAGATCGAATAATTCAGACGAAGAAGCAGTCAAGATAATATCATCTATGTAGAAGAGAATATAGGTGTTACCCCACCCCAATTAGAATATGAACAGTGAGGAGTTAGTTTTGTTGTTGGAAACTGACCCAAGTAATAAACTCATCAAATCGATTACACCATACATGTGGTGCCTATTTCAGGTTGTATAGTGATGTATGGAGATAACATACATAATTTGGATGATCAGGGTCACGAAATTCAGGAGGTCGATGCATGTAAATAGTCTCATTCAATTGACCATGCAAGAAAATGCTATTGACGCCTAACTGATGAATCAACCAGGGACAAGAGACGGAGACCGTTATGTTGAGAACAGATCAAATCGCAGCCGGTTTGACAATCATGCACAATCGATGTTTAGTCGTTGACTTTCACGATTAGCCACTAAACGTGTTTTGTACATTTCAATAGTACCATTGAACTTGTATATGTTTTTAAATGACCACATAAAATGAATAATATTTTCCCTTGGAGGCTTCGGAACAACTACCTAAGTTATGTTAGAAATAAGAGCAGCAAATCGGTTATTTATGGCAATGGTCCAAATAGGGTAACGAAGGGCATGCAAGTGGGATTTGAGGGTGGGTGACTCGGTTGTGCTATAAAGGATTAGGCAAGCGGTGGGTTTGGTGATACCATGTTTTACGTTGTGACCATAGGATGAATAGAAGGACGGTGGGGTGGTAGGGTTTGAACTGGGTGGGAGGGGGAATATGTGGATGTTCGATAGTGGGGTGGGTTGGGTTGGATTCTCGATTTTAAGTGGAGGGGTGGTTTCAGTGTCTCAAAAAATGACGAGGCAATGGGGATGTGAGATCCATAAAATCAAGGAAGGTGTATGGTGGGGATTGGTTGGGAGTCAATGATCGAAAAGGAAATGAGGATTCGTCAAAAATGACATAACGAGATATGATAGTTGTTGGGTTAATCGGTTGGTTCAACGGGTCACAAACTGGATCCAGTTAACAATCCAAAAGTGTTGGATCAGAGTCATGCTAAAATAACGGGATAAAACCCATGTTTTAGGAGCTGCACATGAGAAATGGTCAAGTTTGATCAAGTTTATAGGAGATACGAGATTAGCATGTGCATGTTTATTTTTAATTATAAATAGGTGTTATTTTCCTTTTGTATCTCTGACCTTTTGTTCATCAGAAATGGTGAAGCCTCTCCATATTCTATTTGTTGCAACTACGTGAGTAATGTGTGTTGTGTGTGTGTTTTCAAGGGCCTGTGCCCACAATAATTTTACGAGATGAGAGATCAATACATCAATATCCATCCATGATGGTTAGATGGATACCCGATGAAGATACAAGGAGTGGACTGTGGAGCAAGTTTATGTGGGAGACATATATGTGTGTAACAAATGCACTCGAAGACTATAACGTGTGAGAATGAGGGGGTTTTCTTAAATAGTTTGGTGCATGGTATCTCATTCCCAATAGACAATGGATGGGGTAATTGTGAGGAGGTGATTGGTCATATGTAAAGCTACGACCCAATAGGTTGGTGGTATGTGTGCCATAAAGGTTCGTATAACATTATTAATTAGGCGAATCATGTGTTCAGACTATATGTTTTGTTGGGAAGTGTGGGGCTTTTATGTCCGTTATTACGTATGGTTTCATATTAGTAGGAGTATATCCGGCCATTGCAAGAGAATGATGAAAAGGTCGAGGTGATTAAAGAAGTATGAGGGAGATTGACAATGGAAGAGGGACGCCGGTGAAGAGCTTGAATTCAGAACAATGTTTACAGGGCATCAAAGGTGATACCATATCATACTTAACTATACAGCATAATAACTGGACTAAACTAACACACGTACATTTGGGCCTGTACTGGGCTAACTATACAGCATAATAACTGGGCTAAACTAACATTGATATAATGCAATATACAACACCTATAAAAACTCTGAAGCAATGATCTCTTTTATATGCAAGAAAAACATTGCTCGGCTGCTTTGGGAGATGGGACCTCTGACCTCAGTTGCGTCTCATGTCCATAACTTAGCCTCCTACACAATATATGCGCAAACAAGCCATAGACACATCAACTAAAATCAATGCATCAAATGTGGCCACACAACTTTCTACCAATAAAAGAAACCAATTGTTAATCGCATTCATCAGAAGGAGACTCTTTGATTGCACATTTAAAAACAAGGTTTCTTTTCACAAATGTTGGAGTGAATGAAAAGTATAAAAACGATATCCTTTTGCTCAAAATTGTAACTGGGTGGTCCTTGGCATAAAAACAAACACCTGGTGTGAGTCGAATGCAATCATCGATACAAAACAATAATAATAGATGAAAACGAAGACCATCAAGCACAATTTCATTTGATGCAATCAAAAGGAAACATAAGATGATTAACAAGAACATTCCATTACCAAAGCAAGATAGTTTCATTTCAATATCAGAACTTTTCAGCTAGAAAGTAATTACATAGGGATCCCAAAAACCAACGAAAACCAAATTACAACAGATACCAACAGATCATGACAATCTAACCGCTAGTGAACTTTGTCACAGCCTTGGTACCTTCAGACACAGCATGCTTAGCCAACTCCCCGGGAAGTACAAGTCTGACTGCAGTTTGAATCTCCCTCGAAGACAGAGTGTTCTTCTTGTTGTACCTTGCAAGCTTAGATGCCTCCTGAGCGAGCTTCTCGAAAATGTCGTTGATGAAGGAGTTCATGATGCCCATTGCCTTACTAGAGATACCAATGTCAGGGTGAACCTGCTTCAAAACCTTAAAGATGTAGATCTTGTAGGTCTCGACTGATTTCTTGTGTCTCTTCTTCTTCTTATCTGCTCCGGCAGCCGATGCGTCTTTTGGGAGTTTCTTCATAGCCTTGGGCTTCTTCTCCGCTGGTGCCTTCTCAGCTGGAGCCTTTTCCGCTACTGGTTTCTTTCCGGCAGCTGCCTTGGGTGCCATTAATACAGTTGGAGGGAAAATGGAAATAGAGAAGATGTGTTTGTAGTAGATGAATTCGAAAGGTAGGATGCGCTTGTTGGCGTATTGGGATGTGTTTATATAGGCTGTGTAAAACTGATCTGATTGGTTAGATCAGACTGACGCGGATCGTGATTACTGGCCGTTGGTTTTTAGAGAATAAATGAAAACAATGATAGTATAATTAACAAATACATTGCTATCATAAAACAAAATTGCAAAAATGGTCCCATGGTTTCTTATTTTATGTGGTTATGGTCCAAACGTTTGAAAAGTTACAGATTTAGTCATTTTCAACAAGTTTATTGTAGTTTTGGTCCCTCATCCGTTAAGTTTAACTGGTTGGCTGTTAACTTTTTTAAAATGACAGTTTTACCCTATGGACCATTTTCGCAGTTTTGTCTTTTACCATACCATAAGGACCATTTTTGCATACATTCTTTTTTATTTTATTGAAGTATTATATATTATTAAATATTATTTTTAATATATAATATTATATATTATTTTTAATATATAATATTATATATTAATAAATATTGTTTTATTGGATTATTAATTTACTATAGTTGATTTTTTTTTGTTAGAGTAATTCTTTTTATTGAGTTATTATATATCAATACATATAGTTTTTAATATATAATATTTATATCATAATAAATATATTATTAGATTATAAATTTCTTTTAGTTAATATTTTTAATTCTTTTTTTTAAATTATTTTTATTGGATTATTTAATTTTTATTTTCTTCATATACTAAATATTGTTTTATTGGATTATTAGTTTATTTTAGTTAATTCTTGAAAAAACATCATAAATGGTCCCTGTGGTTACCCAAAATCTGAAGTTTAGTCCTCGTGGTTTAAAAACCACATAGATGGTCCCTGTGTTTTCAAAACTTTTGATGTTTGGTCCTTTTTGCTAACTCCGTTAAGTTTGTCCGTTAACTGAAGGGTATTTTCGTCATTTCACCACCACAGGGACCATTTATGATGTTTTCTCGTATCTTTTAAAAAAAGAAAATTTTAAACATAATTAAATATATAAAAGCTCTCTCTCTCTCTCTCTCTCTCTCTCTCTCTCTCTCTCTCTCGACAAACACATACATACACTAGATCCCCACTATTCTTCCCCAGCCTAACCATTCACCTTCATCGATCCTTGCTTCCCAATCTAATCATCCATCTCAATCTGGTGAACCAAACCTCCCACCATTTCCGTTTCCGGTTCCCACATCCTCCGATAACTCCATCGCCTCCAATGTCCAGTGGCCCCGTCTGAAAGCTTCACCGCTTCCCCATCATTGCTCGCTGGATATCAGAGCATCATCAGAAATCTCTCTTCATCCTCACCGAATTTCAAGTCGGAAGCCTCTCTTCATCCCACTAGATTTCAATCTGGAAAACCACTTAAACTCTCTTCATCCCCACCGGAAAAATCTCCCAATATACCAATGTTTTTGTGGCGGTTGTTCTGTCTGGTGGTGTTGTGAATCTGATGGCTAATGGTATCGGTGGTGGAGGGTTTATGGTTGTTCGATCTGTGTATATGTTGGAAACCCTAGCATTTGATTTCAGGGAAACTGCTTCGGCGGCTTCCAAACAAGTTTAAACGATTTTATTCAATGGGGGGTTTTGCCTAATTTTGTTTTCGACTCGTTGAAGCACTGATCTCCGATTTCTTACATTTTTTGCATCTGATAATTTTGAAGGTCTATGTTCTAGTGTAGTTGATGGACTGTGATTGGTTTAATGAATGGGATGGTTGTTTTTGCTCATTATTGATTGGGTATTCACATGGGAGAAAAAATGAACAATTTCAATGAAGAAGATGAAGAATACGATATTAGTAAAGATAATGGCGGTGGTGAAGGTTATGTGGTGGTTTGGCAGGTGGAAGTTAACGATGACGATGGTGTTTTGTAGTGCTGGAATGGAGAAATAAGGGTGGTGATTTTGGTCTAATGATAGCAGTGGTGATGGTGGATGGTGCTGGCGATGGTGGTGTACGAGAGAGAGAGAGACCTTGGATATTAAATTTAATTTTTAAAAAATAAATAAATAAAAGAAAGGAAAACCTCATAAAAGGTCCCTGGATAGGTAAATGACGGAAATACCCTTCATTTAACGGTGGAAAATTAACAGAGTTAGCGAAAAGGATCAAACATTAAAAGTTTTGAAAGCATAGGGACCATCTATGACGTTTTTAAACCACAACGATTAAACTTCAGATTTTGGGAAACCACAGGGACCATTTATGATGTTTTTTCTTCTTTTAAAAAAAAACAATTGTTGAAGTAATTATTTTTTATTGAATTATTATATATCAATAAATATAGTTTTTAATATATAATATTTATATCATAATAAATATTATATTATTGGATTATTATTATCTTTTCGTTAATTTTTGTAATTTCTTTTTTTTTAAACTATTTTTTATTGGATTATTAATTTTAATTTATTATTTTATTCATATACTAAATATTATTTTATTGGATTATTAATTTATTTTTAATTATAATAATAGTTCTTGTTAATTTTATTGGTTCTACCACAAAGTCATGGGATACGCAAAACCGTCGTCTCTCATCATCGAAATCGTTAGGATCGCTGCCAAACACTTTCATTTCATCTAGCTTATAATGAGAAACCATAGGGAAAATACCACCACCATCACTCGGTCACCACCACCACTTATAAATGTTATACGGGTTTGTTGCGCATTATGTGGGATATGAAGGATTCCAGTGGATTATGAAGAGGTTGTCGTAGGTGGCTACCAGCAACGCTAGGTGGAATAGGGTAGGGTATCTATTGAACCTCCAATGAAGGTGTTTGGAGGTGATCCTGCCAATTTTTGACGATGATAAGCGACACTTTTACGACGACTTTGTGGTGAAAATAATAAAATTAAAAACAATTAATAGTATACATTAAAAATAAAATAATAATCCAATAAGATAATATTTATTATATTAAAAAAATAATAAATTTAAAAGTAATATTTCAACAAATTAATAATTCAAAAAAACAAATTAGAAAAATTAATAATCCAATAATGTATTATTTATTATGAGGTAAATATTATATATTAAAAATAATATTTGTTGATATATAATAATCTAATAAAAAAAATTGCTCCAACAAAAAAGAAATTATAAAAAGAATCAACTAAATGAAATTAATAATCCAATAAAATAATGTTTTGTAATATATAATAATCTCATAATATAATATTTATTATGATATAAATATTATATATTAAAAACAATATGTACTGATATATAATAATTCAATAAAAAAGAATTACTTCGACAAAAAAATTTAAAAAAATATAATTAACTAAAATAAATTAATAATCCAATAAAACAACATTTAGTATATGAAGAAAATAATAAATTAAAAGTAATAATACAATAAAAAATAATTAAAAATTACAAAAATTAACTAAAAAAATTGATAATCCAATAATATAATATTTATTATGATATAAATATTATATATTAAAAACTATATGTATTGATATATAATAATTCAATAAAAAAGAATTACTCCAACAATTTTTTTTTTAAAAATCAACTAAAATAAATTAATAATCCAATAAAAAATATTTATTAATATATAATATTATATATTAAAAATAATATCTATTAATATATAATACCTCATTAAAATTAAAATTAATGTATGCAAAAATGGTCCTTATAGTATAGTAAAAGACAAAACTGCGAAAATGGTCTCTGGGGTTAAAATTGTCATTTTAAGGAAGTTAACGGATGGGGGACTAAAACCGCAACAAAACTTGTTGAAAAGGACTAAATCTGCAACTTTTCAAACGTTTGGACCGTCGCCACATAAAATGAGAAACCACAGGGACCATTTTTGCAGTTTTGTCTATCAAAAATTACATAAAAGGTCGTAATTAACGACCTTACATAAATGGTCACAGTACATTAACATTTTTTCAAAAAATAAAAATAAGATATAACTTACAAACACACACAATGAAAATAGGGAAAAAGAAAACAATGATAGCATATGACCAAAATTGAAAATTTGTAGCTATTTTTTGCTTATCTTCCATGATGGGGGTAAATGCAAAAAAAAAAAAATAGCAATTTACTTTCATGTAAAGTTATCCTTTTCTTAAAAAATTTTTTACTTTGCATCAAACTTGAAAATATGTTGTTATGAATTGACAATGATGTTACAACTAACAAAAATAAAAATGAAAGTATATTGCTTTGATGGTGTTTGTGTGTGTTTATGTTTACATTTGAAAAGAGTATATTGCTATGATGGTGTTTGTGTGTGTTTATGTAATTTGAAAAAAAAAATACATTAAATGTCTTTAGTACATGAAATTACAGAAATTAATGATAAAATAGGGTTTATGTATATGTGAAAATAACAAAACGAAAACAAAGATAGTATGACAGGCCAAAAAAAATGAAAGCATACTGATAACTTTTGTATTTTTTCCATGACTAAGGTAAATGAAAAAAAATGCAATTTACTTTCAACTTTCTTCTATTACAGCGTGATACTTTCATAAATTGGAATAAATAGTTTATTAATATATAATATGATTAATATATTAATAATAAATAATAATAATAATTAATTTGGTATTAATCATAAATTAATTGGAATTAATTTTGGGATTAATTGAATTGATTAAAAGTGTAGGGACTATTTGGTTATTTACTCTACCATCGACTCTTATTCTCATACCATCTCTTATCCTTTTCTCAGGCTCATCTCATATTCTATGTATACGTTTTACCTTTACCTTTACCCTTATCTCTTCTCTACTATTATCTTCATCTTTCTATCTCTCTTTATACATTATCTAATCTCATATTTCCTCTACTTTTCTCTATGCTCTATGCATGCTCTTTTCTATCTCTTACTCGGTTCTTCTCATATCTCAAAAATCTTAGCATGCATTCTCATGCTCTTCTTATCTCATCTCATA